ATCAAGGATCAGCTCTTTGAAAAACTAGAAGCTCTGTCCTTCATTCATGACTCTACCAGTAGACTAAAACCTGCCAAAGCCTTCTTCGATCAGACAGTTAAAGTGTTTGAAGTAATGCTTTCACAAAAAGCCTTTATTCCCAATGATTTCTTCAGAAAAATTGAGCAGGTGTCAAAGCCAAAAAGCGGGACATCCTTTTTACCCTCATGGATAGCATTCCTTCGTAACATCGGCTTGAAATATGTAGTATCTCAACAGCAAGTTCTACAGTTTGCGAAAGAGATCAGCATCAAAGCTCATACAGAGAACTGGCCCAAGGAAAAAGTTCAGACCATTGTAGATGTACTCCTTACTCACATTTTCAATGAGAGAACAGATCTGTTTGATGGGGCATTCCTCAAAGAACTCTCTATGATACAATTCCTATGCCCAGAGCGTGCACCAGCCGAGCTTGTTCGCCTTCACGTTCAGTACCAAGAAATGAATGGCACCGTCCCTCTAATTCGCTTCAACGGATCACAAGTCAATCCAAAGTTCAAACAAAGTGATATCATGCAGTTGTTGTGGACATCTTGTCCTATACTACCAGAAAGGGCCACCCCAGCAAGCATAAAAGACCAAGAAGGAAACACACTTACCAGCCAAGAGCAACTCGATCTTATTTTGACCATGTTAAATGTTAATGTGGACCCACCATTGGAAAAAGTCATTAGCAATTGCAAAAACATATGTAGCATTACAAACTTGGATGATGACACAGTGAAAACACGAAGCAAGGTCTTGAGAAGCATTTATGAATTTCTGAATGCAGATAAACATGAATTCCGCTTTCAGTTACGAGGAGTAGCCTTCGTCATGGTTGAGGAGGGTTGGAAACTCCTTAAACCAGAAGAGGTTGTCATTAATTTGGACAGTGAATCTGACTTCAAACCCTACTTGTACAAACTTCCCCTCGAGCTTGGGACATTTCACCAACTTTTCAAACTGTTGGGAACTGAGGACATTGTTTCAACAAAACAATATGTTGAAGTTTTGTGTCGGATTTATAGAATTTCAGAAGGCAAGCAGCTTGACCCAAATGAAATGAGAACAGTGAAAAGAACTGTCTCAGGGCTATTCAAAAGTCTCCAGAATGACCCAGTACAGATCCGTAAAGACCTTGAGAATCTCAGAGATTTGACATTTTACCTTCCGAGTCATGATGGACGATTGGCCAAATCAAACACATTGGTCTTTGACGATGCACCACACTTCAAGAGTCGAATTCAGGGTAATGTTGGTGTTCAGATGCTAGTTGACATGAGCCAGTGTTACCTAGGCAAAGACCATGCCTTTCACACAAAGCTGATCATGTTGCTTCCGCAGAAACTGAGGCCCAGGCTTCTGAGTAGTATCTTGGAGGAACAACTTGATGAAGACTCACCAAGAATGTGCCAATTTGGTGCCCTTTGCTCCCTGCAGGGACGGCTTCAATTGCTTCTGTCTTCAGAACAGTTTATCACTGGATTAATTCGGATCATGAAACATGAGAATGAGAATGCATACATGGTGAATGAGGAGAAAGCAATACGGTTATGCAAAGCACTGTGTGAGGGCTTAAAGGTGTCTTGCTTTGAGAAACTACAGACTACATTGCGAGTGAAAGGCTGCAGCCCAATTCTCCACAGCCGTAGTGAAACTCTTGCCTTTCTTAAAAGATACGGAACAGCTGTTATCCACCTCTACATTCAGCATTCTGACAGCAAAGACATTAATTTTCTTCTTGCCTTGGCAATGACCCTCAAGTCAGCTACAGACAACCTGATTTCTGACACCTCCTATCTTATTGCTATGTTGGGTTGCAATGACATCTACAGAATAACAGAGAAGCTAGACAACCTTGGTGTCAAGTATGACACAACTGAACCCTCAAAGCTGGAGCTCCCTCTACCTGGTACACCCATACCTGCTGAGATTCATCATTTACTGCTCATGGACCCCATGAATGTCTTTTATCCTGGAGAGTATGTTGGTTACCTGGTAGATTCAGAGGGAGGTGATATTTTAGGCACTTACCAGCCAACTTACACATACGCTATCATCGTTCAAGAAGTGGAACGAGAAGAGGAGGAAAGTCCAAGTGTCCTCGGCAAGTGCTTTCAAATTGACATTGGGTACAGTGAGTACAAAATCGTGAGCTCTCTTGATCTGTATAAATTTTCAAGACAGGATGATAGCACCAATAATCGAGATGGCACACCAACTCCAACAAGCCCCTCGGAGGGTCATTCCCCTCGTTCCAGAATGGTCCCACCATTATTTCCTGGAAAGGAAAATCACAGGGCTCCTCCAACAAAGGCGTCCCCCAAAAAGATAAAACTCAATGCATTACCAGAAATTCTAAAAGAAGTTACTTCAGTAATAGAACAAGCTTGGAAACTTTCTGAAACTGAACGCAAGAAGATTATCCGGCGCTTATACTTGAAGTGGCACCCTGACAAAAATGCAGAGAATCTTGACATCGCTACAGAAGTCTTTAAACACCTACAGAATGAGATCAGCAGGATGGAGAAGCAAACACAAGCAGAGCAGGCGACTGATAGAGGATCAAGGAGACCTTACTCTTCATCTTCCACACGATTCCAGTCAGAGAAATTCTCATTTCAGCGATTTTACACATCATGGAACCAAGAAGCAACAAGCCATAAATCGGAAAAACACCAGTTCCGAGGACAGTTTACTAGCTATTCAGGCACATCGCACTCAAATCGCTTCTTTGTACCACCATCGTTCAAGTCTGTTGGTAACCCTGTGGAGGCACGGCGGTGGTTAAGGCAAGCAAGAGCCAACTTTTCTGCTGCAAGAAATGACCTTCATAAAAATGCCAATGAGTGGGTATGTTTCAAATGCTACCTGGCAACAAAGCTTGCATTAATTGCAGCAGATTATGCAGTCAGAGGAAAATCAGACAAAGATGTGAAGCCCACAGCACTTGCCCAGAAGGTGGAGGAATACAACTCCCAGCTAACAGGGTTGGCCAAGGATGTAAACATCCTGGAAGGTTATGGCGTGGACAGCCTGAGAACTCGCTACCCTGACCTATTGCCCTTCCCTCAGATTCCCAATGACAGGTATACTTCGGAAGTAGCAATGAGAGTAATGGAATGTACAGCTCGGATAATCATCAAACTTGAGACATTTGTCCAGCAAAAAATCTGAATGTAGACAATGCAAAACACTGACAGATGAATCAACAAACCAGTGGTTGTGCAATATAGACCAGTAAATATTGTAATAGTTATAACAGACTTTTTAAAAGTAAAATTATATATCTTGCTGGCATTTTTATTTTAACAGTGCCACCTCTGATGCTGTGACCCATGCTTATTATCGCGTACATTTGCTCCATTTCTCTGAAAGGTTGCCTGAGCCTAAAAAAAAAAGTGTACGCTATTATATTTAACATGCAGCAGTGTACATAATGTTCAAAAGCATAGAAATACCTTTTATTATTTTAACTACATTTATTGATTACTGTTGTTCCTTTGTACATAACGAATACCGATGCTGCTTTTTTATCTTTTCTAGAAATGTATTTTCCTGCCATAGTCATTAAGTTGATGGTATTGTGATTTATTAGCATGAGTTGCACTGCACTTTTATGTAAATAGTTCTTGAGTGATTGTAGGAATTTGAATGAATGACACCTGAAAAATTATCATGTGCAATCAAGCAATGTCAGGTCAGTCAGCTCACAGTTCCTTTATGGGATCTTTATCAGTGCCGGTAATTCATATATTGTGCATACAACTTTTTCTCAGCTGGTAATTGACATTCAATGTATGCATACATTTCAATCTAAGTGTGATATTGATATCAGTGCATAACCTAGACATCATAAGATATAATATGACTGTAGGTTCATAAGTGTTTACCAGTGGAATTATCTGTCTTTCTTGTTGCAAGATTTATAGAATGCAAGAATGAAATTTATTCCATAATTTCACAATCACCTTTATCTCAACTGAACTATACATATATGCATACATTGACACTCAAAATTACATTTTCTCTTGAAACTTGACATTCGGTTAACTGCTGTGGCTGTACACATACATCATGCATATTTCCTCAGAATGTTGTTGATTAAATATGTATTTTCTATTATTTACAATGGGAACCTCTTGTCCTCTACTGATGAGAATTGTTTGCATGAAGTTCTCTGAAATTTGTCTAAGAGGAACATTCTGTAGATGCTCATATGGTGCTCAATGTCAATGATGTTTTTCATCCATTACCTTTGTTTAACTGTGAGAAAGACTGAAATTAAACACTGGCTCCTACGTTTTGACAAATACATTTTGTCATTTGTCTCAGTCTCATTATTTCATATTACAGCTTTGTAAGTTTGAGACCCACTAACATTGAGAATATTGGTTTGTGCATATTTAACATGTTCAATAATCAAGGTATATTATTTAAGTGCTATATCTCATAAATTATGCACAAATACTTACTTCAAAAACTATCCTGAATCTACTGTTCATATAAGTCATAGTATCAGGTAATAATAATCTATTTTCACAAAACAACATATAGCTTTTTTTATATATTTATTGGACATAAAACATTCTAAGTTTAAGGATTTCTTTGGTTAGTTTGAATGAAATTACATTTCAAACATTGAAACATTTCATGTGGACAGCTAATTTACATGTTCATACATGTTTGATAGTAAACTATAATTCAACAATCAGTATATGGCAATAATTCACTTGAAATATGTAAATCTCAAAATGAAAGTTTACCTGTTTGAAAAAAATACATCAATCAAAGCATAATATACAACTGATGTATGAATCTGAAGATCCCCTGCCAATACATATATATATATATATATATACAAATTATCACTCTCACAATTTACAGTACATACAGAAAACAGTTCTGGAAAAAAGAAACGCAAATCCCAATGTTTCAAGCTGCCATAGGGATTATTTAGCATTCTTGATAACTAAATAAACGGAGATGCCAAATTTGATATCAAACCATTGCGTATAAAATTCAAAATCCAAGAGCACTTCATATCTTACAACAACACACACCAGAGAATTAAATCTGATAATATTACAATGCTTTATCGAAGTGGGATTTGGGATTGTGGGTAGTGTAGTTCTTGAGTGGGAATTCTACTATTTTACAAAAATGTTGAAATCAAACTGACTACAGAAGCATACAGTATATTATCACCCTCTGAGGAGCTCAAGGCACGACCATATCAATGTTTTATGTTATCACAATTTATCTATTAACAATTGCATCTTTAAACAATAACTAGCTGATATTCAACACACAGAATTTGGTTATTTATTGCACCTCAAAATTATATTGCATAGGATGTCAGCTGTTGACCAGCCCCTTTATTGCCCAGCCTAATTTAGAAAAATTTTACATAACAGAAAAAAAGACAATAATTTTGTTTCATTTACAGTAAAAACTAAAGCGTATACCAACCCAATCTCATGAGAAAATTTAACTATTTTATGAGGTGGTGATTTTGCATGAATTCCTACAACATGATTTGTACGGAACCAAAGTTTGTTTTTGTTTTTACGAAGGACCACCCTTAAACCTACCAGTAAGTGGGGTGTAAGCAGATCGTACGGAAACATACAAATGAGATCATATGGATTCATACGAATTAACCACCAAACGTAAAATAGTTATGAATTCCTATGAGAGTGTGTTGTCTATACTACACATTTCATTTTCCCTATCATGATGAAACCTCAACCAAACAGATAAACATACCCTCTAGGCCAGGCTTGGGCAACTCTGGTCCTATAGAGATCCACTGTCCTGCAGAGTTTTGCTCCAACTCTAATCAAACAACTGAACAAGCTAATCAACGTCTTCAGGTCCTACTAGAAAGTTGTAAGCAAAGTGGATCTCACCTGCCCATAACTTTCTAGTAGGACTTGAAGACCTTGATTAGCTTGTTCAGTTGTGTTTGATTAGGGTTGGAGCAAAACTCTGCAGGAAAGTGGATCTCTATAGGGCCAGAGTTGCCCATTCACTGCTACAGGCTAATATTCAGTAACAATGGTTCCCAACCCTGTTTTAGGAGTGTCCTCAACACTGCACACAAGTAAAGACTCAAGTTACATGCATCCTGTCACCATTTAAACTGCCCTGTCAGTCATCTTGTCACAGTTAAAATCCTCCATATTCAATTTCCTACTGTATCAGTGAGTAATGTATTAGCATCTGATCTGCCAGGTGTGGGTCTTTCATGCAGAGAACTCTCCTTGTGAATGTAACACTGAATAAATCTCTTTTCGTCAGGTTACATACTGAATATTAATCATTCAAACCCCATATCTAAACCTCTCTACTTAACCATCGGACTCGCACACCGCCATGTTTGTAGTTTTTTAACTTTTTTTAGTTGTGTTTGTCTAATTGAATCCTTGTCCAACATGCAATGGGTTGTGGGCAATATTAGCCGTTAAGAGTTTGCACGGATCTGCACTTCGGACTCTAACCGGAAAAAGTAGACCATCCTTGGAATCCTCATTTCATCATACTACGATTTGGGACAAATTCATTCTAATTTCAAAAACTATTTAGGACGGATAGTATGTGAATTTGGATGCAGAACAAGACCTCAGATAAGAGAGTTTCAGATAAGAGAGACCTAAATGTGCAGTGTTGGTGGTAATCCAGGACCAGGGTTAGGAACAACTGTTCAGTAACATATAATACATTTTGTAACTAAATTAGTGTTTTTTTTTACCTTGCTCAGAGACAAGAACTTGTTTCTATGGGAGATTTGTTACTACTGTTTGTGTTACAGACAGAAGCTCATTCAGCAGTCCTGGTGCTCGCTGCAGGTCGAGGAGACGCCAGCTCTGGAGAGGAACAGCTTACCGCTGGGACAAACGCACACCTCAAACATGTCGTACATTCCCTGAGAATCACCTGAAGTCCGGGCTTCTCCCACAGGTAATGTCGGCAGACGAACAGATTCAGCATCTAAGATCAGCTGAAACGTACAGAAACCCCAATAATGAGGCATTCAATGAAATAAGGATTAACACTTTGTATTCACTTTGGGTTAAATACAATTCATTTAAAGCGTTGGACTAAAGTGGCCACGGACTCAGCAGCTCTGGTTAAGTTAGGCAGGTCATTCCATCAGCAGGGAACAGACAAGAAAAAGGTCCAGATTTAGTGCCTCTTTGAGATGGTACCACAAGACGGTGTTCACTTGCACAGTGCATGTTTCTGGATGGCACTTAAGTCTGAAGTAATGAGTTTAGGTAAAAGGGAGCAGAGCCAGTGGTTGTTCTGTAGGCAAAAGTCAGTGACTTGTATTTGTTGCGAGCGGCAACTGGCAACCAGTGCAGTTTTGTGAGGAGAGTAGTGACGTGTGCTCCCTCGGCTGTTAATTTTTGTGTATAAAATGTACATTTGTGTCCTATCTCAAGCTACTCTACTGTCAGCTCAAGCTTTTGTCATGTCTGTCATGTGTCGACAACTTAGAATCTGGCCCCGTTTGAAAAACGTTTGGAAACCCCTGGGGTTACATGAACCTCAAGGATCATATTTTACAAAAATTCATGTCATGACCCCTTTAAATAAAAGTAATACTGCTATCATTAACAACCATTTTAAAAGAAAATAAGGAAGAATAAACAAGAGACTTTTGCTAAAGTCTACCGTTTATCCTAAGAAGAAGACACAAGTAGTCTCACTTGTGTTCAAACTAGACATGTTAATGTGTCAGACTGTGCTCAGATTTGCTAAAACACTAATGTTGCTAAATAACAACAATAAAAAGTTCTCGAATTCTTTCAAAACCAAATTATATGAGTTATGGTAGATCAGGGAATGGTGAGTAGCTCCATCCCTCATCAAACACACATCAAAAATCTAACAAAAGTCTTCAGGATTCCTTGAAAATCACAGACAGGAATGCTTACCAGTCCTGCAGTTGAGTGTAGCAGAATGTCAAAATGTGCTGTCACGTCAACATTTCCAGCCAGGGCTTTGACGTGAACGCCTTTTGGGGCATCCATGCTGAGAGAGCGTGTTGGAGACTCCAGTCTTAAACGACAGGGGAATGCACTGAGTAGTTACTGCGCTGAACAATACATCGTTTGGACACAAGATGGCCACAAAAATACTCTCAAATTCATACATGGAAAACGGAAGGAAACTGCATTATATTTAGGCCTATTTGGGAAAGTCATTTTTGGAGAAAAAAAAAGAATTAAGCTTTTGTGACAACCAGATGCCTTCGTGACTCAGGTCTTAGACTTCAAAGATCACAGCTGGTTAATGCCCTGTTGGAAACTTCTATAAAAGTTATACTCAGTACCATTTCTTTTAATGGGGCTGACATTTTTAAGCAATAATGTTTTTGAGGGGGTGGAGAGACAAATATATCACAGCATATGCAGAGACAAAATTGGAGCAAATTATAAAAAGCTAAAAAGCTAAGTTAAAGTAAGCTAGTTAGTTTATAAGCAAAAAACGACCAAAATCCTTTATTTTTTACAGTAATGGCAATGAGTATGGGAAGAGATGATGTTATGAATTATGTAGTGTATGCTTACTTTAGCTCTTTGTTGAGTACTGCTTTGACCAGAGGAGTCTTAACAGAATGCTCAAAGAAAGCACCTTCTGGACCTGTCCAAACACAAGAACACTTACAATCAGACAAAGAAAGTGTAAAAATCATTCCATATCAGATGTGACATTTCATTAGAGCAAATAATCACATCATTGCAATTATTTAACAGAATAGAGATTATGACATTGGACAAATACTGGTGTAATGAAAACCTCTCTCTCTCTCTCTCTCTCCTCTCTCTCTCTCTCTCTCTCTCTCTCTCTCTCTCTCTCTCTCTCTCTCTCTCTCTCTCTCTCTCTCCTCTCTCTCTCTCTCTCTCTCTCTCTCTCTCTCTCTCTCTCTCTCTCTCCTCTCTCTCTCTCTCTCTCTCTCTCTCTCTCTCTCTCTCTCTCTCTCTCTCTCTCTCTCTCTCTCTCTCTCTCTCTCTCTCTCTCTCTCTCTCTCTCTCTCTCTCTCTCTCTCTCTCTCTCTCTCTCTCTCTCTCTCTCTTCTCCTCTCTCTCTCTCTCTCTCTCTCTCTCTCTCTCTCTCTCTCCTCTCTCTCTCTCTCTCTCTCTCTCTCTCTCTCTCTCTCTCTCTCTCTCTCTCTCTCTCTCTCTCTCTCTCTCTCTCTCTCTCTCTCTCTCTCTCTCTCTCTCTCTCTCTCCTCTCTCTCTATATATATATATATATATATATATATATATATATATATATATAATACACACACACACACAGTAAATATATATATATATATATATATATTGTACCATTACTTTTCTGCATTGTGACATTATTTTTTTATAAAATTCAATAAAATTATTTTTCAGTTAAAATCAGCATATATTTAAGATGTGGAAACAAATACTACATTCATTCGTAAGCAATGTACAATTTAAATAATAACATATCATTTTTTTTAAATCACAGTAATGAGACTTGACATGGAAATTTGCTACATTTTGCATAAAAAATGTCAATAATAGAAGATAACAAAAAGGTCCTGACACAGCGTTCTTAAAGTAAAATATAATTTCTATTTTTGTTACTAGGGGTGAATTCACGAATCTCCAAGAATGG